AGCATGTGCAGGTGTTGATCAGTTATATGGGTAAGCAGAGGGATTAGCTGGCATATATTCATGTTTACAGTGAGATGGATGAAGTGATATTTGAGCGGGTTAGAAAGTTTTCTTGATAGTTTTGCAAAGTGAAAATATGTGCTTTGTTTCAACCCAAGAAGCATTCCAGCTTTTTAGTGCTGTATTTTCTGTCTGTCCAAGCCATAATAGGTTACCCTCCCTTTGATATCTGCCATATTTTCTGCCATAAAACACTTTGAATACTACCTTAAGACTTTGTCTAACATTAATTTACACTGACAACTGAGCACACGAAAGAAAAGCTCTAGAGATAACGACAAGTCACACCATGCACAGCAGAAGGATGCTTCACAATTTCGGGGCTGATTGTTTGGGGTTTTTTTGTGGGGTTTTTTTTTTGACATGGGTAAAGTAGGGTAGATAAATCCTGCAAAATGAGGTCTGCTTCTTTTGAAACATCCAAATCTCTCAATTCACCAACTGAAGTCACGTAGAAGTGAAGACAACCTTTTGGAAACAGGATTTCCCGTTTCTAGAAGGTTACTGTGAATGAAAACTTGTCCTCACTGAAGTTGCCAACAAAATTCTCAGTGTGCTGAGGCAACCATCAGCCAGTTTAAAATGTTGATGGTGGGTGTGCAGGAGTTAATCTAATCATGCAAGGATGTTTTCTACATAATAGTAAGAAAATACATTTCAAAGCAATATATATAACCTTAATTTGCAAGACTTAAACTATGGCTACCTATAACATTTATCATTTCTATTTTAAACATTTCATGTAGTGTGGACCTTCTCAGTTTACCACAGCAGTTCTGTTTTACCAATCTACACAGTTTTTCACAGCTAAGCATTGCTAACACTGAACTCAGCCTGCCACACATAAAGGTGAGCAGAAAGTGCAGTTTCTTAAATGAAATTATTACAGGTCTAAGTTCTTACCAAATCAATACTACGCAATCATAATAATGTCATAGACCTTATCAGACATTATTCTGCCATCCTCATGCAAAGTGGCCCAGCTGGAGTATGCATCTGGCTAATGAAACAATACGAACTTTTTCAAAACCAGTACATTTATTTCTTTTTTATGGTCAGGCCCCCCTCTGATTTCAGAGCGAGTAAGTTGGTTCAAGAAAAAAAAATTCTCCAGTACATGCACACACAAAGAATCAACATCACTGTTTCCAAAAACACTGAAAATTTGGACATAATCCAGAATAATGACCAGTATCTTTACAGATTTTGTACTATACACACTTTATACAGTACAGATTTTGTACTATTGCAAATGAGGTGAAATTCTGCCCAGTTGAGTTAATAGCAAACTCCCATGTTGTAATTCCACCCTGGCAAATCTCTGTAGCATGTAGTTAGCAGTGCCATGAGATGCACTAAGATAAGAGGTTTGCCCAGGTGTATTTTTTATGTATTTATTTATTTTTAAACACTGTGGGTCTTTTTACTTTTGTGCCATAAGATTTAAATCTGTATAAAGTCTCCTCCCGAAACAAGTAAGTAGGAAACTTGATGACTTTGTTCTAACAATGCCCTGCAAAAAGAAAAGAGCTTCTAGATGGAGAGTCTTTCTCATCGGGTTAACTTAGTTCACTGGTGTCAAACTCAATCCACTTTTAATCACTTGCCTCTGAAAAAATGCTAAAGTAGGAAGAACAGTTCAAGAAGTCTTTATAATAAATTCCCTGTTATTGTTCATTTCTGCATTAAGTGGAGTTTAAATGACTTTCATATTCTGCTTGCAAATTGGAAATTGAGGCCTCCAGGTGAATGGCAACTGTTTAGTCTTCATACAAACTCTTCTGCAGCCACAGATCTAAGACTGGATGGATACTCTCAATGGGTGCCAATTATTCCTCAGCTTTTACCCAACGATATTGGCTTTGTGGTATAAAAAAGTGGGTTGCTCTTAGAGGTAGCGGCAAACTAATAGTCTTCTTTTTTATCTCGCATCTTCAGGTCAATGTGCTCACATTTTTTGATGACTTGTGGTGATCTATCTACTTTACATAATTAATGTGGAAGAATGAAGTGACTTGCACACAAGCAACACAAACCTTTATTATGTTTCTGTAGAGGAAAAAGAATTGCATAGCACTCCAAATAAAATTTTGCTTTTTCAAAGTCTCCTACTTTTTATGCTAAGACATAAAAATAGCATGTTGAAAAGAAGTGCAAAGATCTTAGTAAAAACCACAAGTATTGCAGATGGTTTCCCCTAAAAAGATGTGAAATTAGGGTCCCTTCACCCCTCTACAAATGTCATATAGTAACTTGTGGTGCAGCAGTTAGGGTGGGGTTTTTTTCTACTATTCCTATCTGCTTCTACCCTGAGCGTGCTAGATTATTATCACACACCGTGATACTCTGATTTGTACAAGACAGTTCTTAATTACTTGCAAATAGTTTTAGGCACACATACCCCTGAACCCTGCCGCTTGCTTCCGATACTCCCGCAGGACCAGTGCGGGCTGCTGAGCCCTGGAGCCGCAGTGAGGGGCAAGGAGGGAGCTGTGGCGGTGGGGAGCAGGCACAACCTGCCCTCCCGAGGGACGCTGCTCCCTGTAAGACCTTCCTCCCCATTCAACTCCCCGGGTGACATCCCGAGGACACGGGTCGGAAACCCACGCCGAAGCAGAACCCCTGGGACCCTGGGCCAGCGTCTCCCCCATCCGGCCGTCAGAGAGGGGAGCCGAGGGCAGACGGGCCCGGCATCCCGGCACGCTTATTTTCTTCCGCCCGCGTGTGCGGATGCCAACTCTGGCGTCCATAAAACTGGGTTACATCAAACGGACCAACCGCCGTCATCTCCCTGTTATTACCCCCGACACAAGCCCTGACAAAAGGCCGCTGCCAAGGCCTCCGCTGACAGGCCGAACAATAGCGGCGACAAAGGCCTTTTCTGCCAGCGCAGATGACATAAATCTGATGCTATAACGCCGGCGCGACTTCAGCTTGCTCCTTATTTATTTATTTAATAAGCCACTGTCATCCATCTCGGGAAGGTGGCTTCCAAACTCCAAATTAATCAAGCCACTGAATGCGAATTTCCATATTGCTCTGCCAAAGGTCTTCTCCACATCAATTGCTGGGAGAAGGCCCCCGTTGTGCTTTGGTGTATTGTGCACGGCCCTACTGCTGCTGCTAAAAGCCACTCTGTTTTTAATAAACATGCATTGTTCTTTTTGTAGTAAATCCAGGAAATAATACCCAACTGGGAGTTTGGGTGCAGGCTTTTTTGTAGTGCAAGTGGAGCGATAGATGCATTTTCATGTCTGTTAGCACTGTGATGGCTCCATTTGTTAGCGCTCAGAAGGTATTTCAGTTTTCAAAAATATAAATTAAGCAAATGCTGAGGTAATGCTTTCTTGTTTATCTTGGAAAACCCCAAGCTGAGGCCACCAATCCAGCATTTCTGTGTCACTCGTGTCGCTTCACCGAATGAAAGGTTCAGCTCCAGGTGCCCCGTGCTCGGCCATCTTCCCAAGTGCCAGAGCACAATTTTCTGGAGCGCTCTGCGCGAATCACCTCGGCGCCCCTGAATTCAATGATATAAAAAAGTCACTGACTTATCAGAGCCAGGATTTCAGTTGTCTGCCTTTTAAAATTCTTTAGTCAACTAAGTATCAGGTCTTGAGCCTATGCAAGTTATCTTTCCTTTAGGCAGTCTGTGGAGAAAGAGGCAGCTCCCCACGGGACGGTTCATCACTGCTGTCTCAGGGATGGGCTGAACTACCTTCCTTGGGAAAATCATCATTTCTCTCTCTTTAATACATACCTACCACCCTGTGTTGTATGAGCTGTATCACCTTTCCCGCTGGCAGAGAGGACAAGCAGAAGGGTGGCAGCCCCAAGAGGGCAGGAGCAAAATAAGAAGTGTGGCTCCTGGCTGAGGTGGACTTGCTGCACATATGATTGTACCACAGCCCCACGGACAAGTTTGTTTCACAGTCCAGCCACTAGAAAAGTGCTCCTCAGTGGTGCAACAGGGAAGGAAAACAAGAGTTGTGTCAACATCACCACAAAAGCAGAAGTGAGATGACAGGACTCCTTCATCTATGAGCATATATTCAATGCCTTCCAGGTCTTACGGATGTGGGAGTGGAGCTTATCTCCCACACAACAGGTTATTTCAATTCCTAAAGATGGGAGGATGTCTCCTTTCAAAAATTTTGTATTGAAAAATGTTTATAGGGAGTTTTTACTAGAAACTGAAGTTGAAACCCCACCTTTTTTTTTTTCATAATGAATGATCTTTTGGAAATGAAGCATGCCAAAAGCTTTAAATAGTGCAATTAAAAATTCCTTCTCCACTCAGCTAGTCAGCTTCCTCACTTGCACAAAATTTTCGTACTGTTTTCCAGAATAAAAATATCTCTGAATAGTTGCATTGCAAGACAAGGAAACAGAATACAGATGGTATTCATAATATGAATAGAGTTTGAAGGACAATAACAGGCACAATAAAATCTATCAGTGAACCAAGAGATGAGATAATTAAAGATACGTTCACTGTATTTTAAACATTCTTATCTCATGAAACAGAAAGCTAATTTGTCAACCAGATACTCTTACTTGACTAAACTTTTCACTCTAGAAATGCTACGGCTCCATTCAGAACAGGCTGGAGTGGCAAACACAGAAAGAGCACTAATAGGTGGCATGTTTCATACTTCACTAACGACTTCTCTCTAAACCCCCTCCCCCCCCATCCCCAGTAAAAAATACTAAGTTAAGCTTCACAGCATATCTCCAATGAAAAGCAGTGTTTTTCTAATGAGGGTTAATGCTTCTCTTTTGAAGGACAGGCCCTGAAGAAGCTACCCAGCAGCTGCTGCCCAGAGCGAGAGCTGGGGTTCTTGTGCCAGGCTCAGGCTCAGGAGGCTCAAACACACGACGACCCACAGGAGGGACTTTTACAGCCAAGCAATAGCACACCCAGGGTTATCCCTGCGAATGAGCTGCTTGGTTACCAAGAACGGAAAATAGATGGGGGCAGAAACTACAAAGAAGCCTGAATTTGCAAGAGTCAGCAGGACTGGGAGAGGAAAACGCCTGGGTCCCAAACCTGTGCTTTCAGGACCGGTTTTGCTTTTTATCTTATGACTCTTCTGCGGGAAGAAGCAGCTCTTCTGTGAAAGCAGTGGGAATGGGAACAGCCCAACAACCTGTGAGACTAGGCAATAAAAAGCCATGGAGCAAGCCTGAACAGTGGGCCCAGGCGGAGCTTGCCCTCTTTCAGGCAACTCCATGGAGGAGAAAACATCTGAGGTGGTAGATCAGATTGCAGGACTTGGAAGAAAGTCATGAGTGAAATCTCCAAAATAATGAGAGCATCTCCAGCTTGAAATTACAGATGCATTCACTTGTACTTTTTAACATCATCTGATGACCTCAAGACAGACAAATCAGTGTTAACAATGAGCAAAGGTAAAAAGACCTCCAAACTGAAAAACACCTCCACAAAATCCTACATCAGAAAAATTATTTTATTTCCCCACTTCAGTGCCTAAGTATCTTTCTGAGTAACTATTTAACATTCAATTTTTAAACCATATTGAAGACAATGATAAAAATATGTGCCTGAAAATATATTATAAATAGCTCTGTTCTTAAAATAGTAATGTACCAAAATTAAAAAAAAAATTGTTAATTAATACTGCTCACTGTGCTACAGCCTAACTGATGAAGGGAAATGCATTCAGACTCCTAAAATGCCTGTCTCCAAGACCATCAGGGTTAGTTTCTGAGTGGCACGTTTTTAAAACATTTAATCAGTGATCTGAATATGTGTCAACACTTTCTGGTAGTGTGCTATAAAATGTGAACCTTGTCAACAGAAACATAAAAAGGCGACACGCTTGGGACACAGAGCTTTTATGCTGACACACTGTAATAATATCATTTTAAAATTTATCATCTGTTTAGCCACAAGCAACAATTAATCTTTTTGACTAATTGTACAATGTTTCAAATAACACCTCCAAAAGAAAAAAAAAATCCATTTTTACTTTCATTGCCTTTCCAATCACGTGCTTTCAAATACTTACGAAGCAACACACAATAAATTTTGCAATGAGGATAAAAATGTTAGCGAATAATATGTTTCCCCCTCCTCAGTTAATAAAATTACTTAACACCGAGCCTGCGAGCAAAAAGAAAACCCCAGGAGTAACTCAAGCATCAGCGGGTTCAGTTCTGTCGCAGTTCTGTCGCATTAAGTGACATTTTATTCCCAAATCACTTAACCTTTGACTTTTATAACTAAACATACAGACCTTGAATTGTTACTGTGGAGGGGACCAGCGAGCGACACTGCTGCCAGGCACTGAAACTGAGCACCCCACGGTAGCGGATGGCTACGGGATGGAAATAATTGGGCCCGCAAGAACCCAAGTTTCTGTACAAAACCTGTGGCCTGGAAAAGGTGGCAGAAAGGGAAATGGGAGGAGGGGAGATGGGGCCTCATTTCTGCTAACAACCCCTCTGCTATACAGCACCCCCAGGGGCCCCAGGTAGGCGTTTTCACAGCGTTCTCACCAGTGGTGAATGTGCCAGGCAAACAAGGGGTTAATAATCAGGCAGAGGTGGGAAAAAGCACTTTATAATTAAGGGCTAAATCCCGCTGAACCCAGCTGGAGCTGCACAGGGGGAGCTGGCAGTTGCACCCCTCCGTCCACCTTGTGCGCGGCTGTGCCGGGGACAGAGAGGGAAACCCAAAGGTTCTTGAGAACAATAGCGATGGTGACAAATGTTGCATGCAGCGACTGACTGTGGCCCCGTCAAAACTTTCTGGGTGAAAAGGGACAGCAATTTTGTAATGCAGATGTAAAAGAACTTTTTGGGGAACAGCTTTAAAAGTAACGAGGTGAAACTGAGAGCGGCAAACGCTAACTGCACCTCAGCACAGAGGGAGGGAGAGAGGGAGTCCTGCAAGGAACTGCAGCACAGTTTTCTGCAGGAATTTCTAGAAGTTTCATTACTTAGCACTTTTACTATTGACAAGGCACCCACAGGTAAGCCCTGGAGAACAGCCCTGTGTCAGATTTTTGCACTCATAACGTCCATGTTTTTTTTTTCCAAAAAATGCAGGACCATGTAGTCGCATGAAATTATGTCAAACCGTATAGGTAACTTCAGGGGTTTTTGTGCAATAGAAGCATCATAGACCACCATTCATGTGTGCCCACGTTGGCACACTTGCAGTAATAACTAGCAAAGGCAAAGGCATCTCTTGCTTCATCCCTGAGAACCTGACTGCCTCCTCCTGGGTGCAGAGGAGTGGGGAGAAACCAGCCATCTCACTGCACATGTCCCCATGGTGGGGCAAATCCAGTCATATCTCAGAACTGTATTTTTCTTTATTAGATTACCAGATGGCATACTCCTTTAAGTTTCATGTATAGCAACTAAGAAAGTTTCTGATGAAAATACGCAATTGCAAAAATCACTTTCTTCTTCTTTGCCCACTGGCCAAGGACTTTGTCCTCTGCAGCTCTTGTCCACATAAGAAACTTTGCTGGTGTGAGGTCATGAGAAGACAAGGGGAGGAACCTGACTGCCAAATTCAACAAGGTAGTGAGCCAGTCATGGTGGGATTTAGCTTCCAAGCATGGTCCTTATAAACTTACTGTTAATGATTTTGATTAAAAGGGTGGAAGAAATGAAAATC